GCTTCCCATAATTCAATGAAAATGAATGTACAACACACCCAAACTTATGGGATACTATGAAAGCAGTACTAAGGGGAAAGTTCACAGCGCTAAATGCCTACATAAAGAAGTTGGAGAAATCTCACACTAGCAACTTAGCAGCACACCTGAAAGCTCTAGAAGAAAAAGAAGCAAACTCACCCAGGAGGAGTAGATGCCATGAAATAAAAAATTGAGGGCTAAAATCAATAAAATACAAAGAGAACAGTACAAAGAATCAATGAAACAAAGAGTTGGTTCTTTGAGAAAATCAACAAGATAGATAAACCCTTATCCAAAGTAACAAAAGGCAGAGAGAGAATATCCAACAAAATCAGAAATAAAAAGGGAGACATAACAACTAATGAGGAAATATAGAGAATCATCAGGTCATACTTCAAAAATCTGTACTCCACAAAAAATGGGAAATCTAAAAGAAATGAACAATTGTCTGGATAGGTACCATATACCCAAATTAAATCAAGACCAGATAGACAATTTAAATAGACCTATAACTCCTATGGAAATAGAAGTAGTCATTAAAAGTCTCCCCCCCCCCCAAAAAAAAAGGCCCAGGGCCAGATGGTTTCAGTGCAGAATTTCAAAGAAGAGCTAATACCAATACTCCTCAAAATTTTCAACACAATAGAAACAGAAGGATCATTGCCAAACTCTTTCTATGAGGCTATAGTTACCCTGATACCCAAACCACACAAAGATGCAACAAAGAAAGGGAATTACAGACCAATCTCCCTCATGAACATTGATGCAAAAATGCTCAATAAAATACTGGCAAGCCAAATTCAGGAACACATCAAAAAAATCATCCTCCATGATCAAGTAGGCTTCATCCCAGAGATGCAGGGATGTTCAACAATGTAATCCATCATATAAACTGAAAGGAAAAAAAACCACATGATCATCTCATTAGATGCTGAAAAAGCCTTTTACAAAATCCAATACCCCTTCATTATAAAGATCCTGGAAAGATCAAGAATATAAAGAACATACCTAAACATAATAAAGGCAATTTACAGCAAGCTGACAAACAACATCAAATTAAATGGAGAGAAACTGAAAGCAATTCCACTAAAATCAGGTACAAGACAATGGTGTCCACTCTCCTCATATCTATTCAATATAGTACTCAAAGTTCTAGCTACAGCAATAACACAATGAAAAGAGATCAAGGGAATACAAATTGGAAAGGAAAAAGTCAAACTTTCACTATTTGCAGATGATATATGATAGTCTACATAAGTGATCCCAAAAATTCTACCAGGGAACTCCTACAACTGATAAACACCTTCACTAATGTGGTGGGATACAAGATTAACTAAAAAAAAAATCAGTAGCCCTCCTATACACAAATGAAAAATGGGCTGAGAAAGAAATCAGAGAACATCACACTTTATAATAGCCACAAATAATATGAAATACCTTGGGGTAACTCTAACCAAAAAGTGAAAAACCTGTACGACAAGAACTTTAAGTCCTTAAAGAAAGAACTTGAAGAAGATATCAGAAAATGGAAAGATCTCTCATGCTCATGGATAGGTAGAATCAACATAATAAAAATGGCAATCTTACCAAAAGCAATCTACAGATTCAATGCAATCAATCCCATCAAAATCCCAACACAATTCTTCACAGACCTCAAAAGAACAATACTCAACTTCATATGGAAAAACAAAAACCCAGGATAGCCAAAACAATCCTTTAAAATAAAGCAACTTCTGGAGGCATTACCATCCCAGACTTCAAGCTCTACTATAGAACTATAGTAATAAAAACAGCTTGGTATTGATATAAAAACTGACATGTGGACCAATGGAATCAAATCGAGGATCCTGACATTAATCCACATACCTATGAACACCTGATTTTTGATAAAGAAGACAAAACTGTACAATGGAAAAAAGAAAGCATCAACAAATGGTGCTGGCATAACTGGATGTCAACATGTAGAAGATTGCAAATAGATCCATACCTGTCACCGTGCACAAAACTTAAGTCCAAGTGGATCAAGGACCTCAACATAAATCCAACTACACTGAATCTGATAGAGGAGAAAGTAGGAAGTAGCCTAGAACGCATTGGCATAGAAGACCACTTCGTAAATATAGTACCAGTAGCACAGACACTAAGAGCAACTATTAATAAATGGGACCTCCTGAAACTGAGAAGCTTCTGCAATGGACACAGTAAATAAGACAAACAACAGCCTACAAAATGGGAAAAGATTTCACCAACCCATCTAACAGAGGGCTGATCTCCAAAATATATAAAGAATTCAAGAAACTAGACAGCAAAATACCAAATAATTCAATTTAAAAATGGGATACAAATCTAAATAGATTTTCAACAGAAGAATCCCAAATGACCGAAAGACATTAAAGGAAATGCTCAACATCCTTAGTCATCAGGGAAATGCAAATCAAAATGAGTCTGAGATACCATCTTACACCTGTCAGAATGGCTAAGATCAAAAACACTGAAGACAGCTTATGTTGCAGAGGGTGGGGAACAAGAGGAACTCTCCTCCACTGTTGGGAGTGTAAACTTGTACAGCCACTCTGGAAATCAGTATGGCAATTTCTCAGAAAATTGGGAATCAATTTACCTCAAGACCCAATGATACTACTCTTGGGCATATACCCAAGGGTTGCTAAATCATACCACAAGGACACTTGCTCAACTATGTTCATAACAGCATTATTTGTAATAGCCAGAACCTGGAAGCAACCTAGATGCCCCTTAGTTTGCTTGCCCCACCTATATCTCCTGCCTGACTACTGACTTATCAGCATTTTATTAAACCAATCTGGGTGACAAATCTTTACAGTGTACAAGAGGATCATTCCACAGTATCTACCATTTAAAAAAGTAAAGAACTGTCTCTACAAGCAATGCTTGGGACACTACTCACATGTGTGCAAAATGATGGAACCACTTGCCTAATGCTGAACAGAAAAGCAACTCATACTGGATCAAAGACAGAAATCCCTAATAGCAAACCTAGGGCAAATCATTCATGACATTAGCTTTGGGTATCAAAGGCCCAGGTAACAACAAAGAACCAAAAAGCCAGAGAATTGAACTTCATAAAATTTTTAGAATGCTCTGCCTCAAAACACACTGCCAGTAGAGTTAAATGGCATCATAGAGATGGGGAAATAATGGAAAATCATGTAACTGACAAGGGATTGATACCCAGAATACATAGCGAACTCCTGAATCTTAACAACAAATAAAAATTCCAACCCAAAAAATGAGCAAAAGACTTGAAGAGACATTTCTCCAAAAAGGTACGTGCATGTTTATCAAGCACACACACACAAAAATCACTCCATATTACTGATCAGGAGAAACTCAATTCAAAAGTACAATGAGTTACCACCTCATACTTGTTAGCATGACTACTATTAAATAAAAAACAGAAAATACCAAATGTGTGCAAGGATGTGGATCAAAGCCCTCATCTACCAACTAACAGGAATGTAAAGTAGTTCAGCAACTATATTGGTTGCCTTTCCTTTGTTGCAGCAAAATGACAGACAGAATTAACTCACATTAGAAAAAAAATCCTGTTTTGCTCACAGTCTCAAAGCTCACAATCCATGATTGTCTGGTTCCACTGTTTCTGGATATGTGGCGAAGCAGAACTTTAGGGTAGGAACACAGAGTCTCACAGCAGAGATGGATGATGGCCAAGAAGCAGAGAGAGAAAAGGAAGAACTGGAGACAAGGACCTGCTCTGCATAACTACGATTCAGCTAAGTCTCCATCACCTCCCAACAGTCCACCAATCCATGACCCATCACTGATTAATCCATTGAGCTCTCATGATCCAGTTACCTCCCCAACACTCTATACATCCCTGCCATGAGAACCCAGACCCAGCCTTCAACACACATGCGTGCGCACACACAACCATGAGCTTCTGAGAGGCAGTTCAGAGTCAAACCATTACAGTAACTAAGAATATCACAGGATACGTGGATTTCATTTCTGCCTACACAGGCAAGAGAACTGAAATCAAAGTGTCAGACTAGTTTATATACATCCCACGCCCACAAAAACGACATCCACAATAGCTACATCACAGAAGCAACCCATGAGCAAATGAAAAGATAAGCAAAATATGATACATTCATATAACGGACCTCTGGCTAAAAGCGGGGAGGGGAGTTTAGGGAGGCCGCAGCCAAAGACATGCAGTGATAAATGAAATGGAGAGTCGGTAAGGAAATTTCATTTGAAAAGACCAGTTACTTAAGCTACCTTAGTTTTCTAGTTTCTGCTGAGATTACACATGGCTTATATTGTCTCACAACCTAGAGCCTTTACACAGAAAGATACCTCCTTGTCACTTTCATTCTGGTCAAGTGCATTGCTGTTCTGGGGCCAACGAACCACATGCTCAGGGCAATGCAGATATAGAAGTTCTTTTAATTAGAAAAGTAGTAACTCAGGCTACAACAGAGGAGAGAGAAGACGGTGAACACACACAGCAGTCGTGTTCTTCAGTGAACAAACTCATGTAGCCTCAAGAAGACAACCAAGAAAGGAGATGGAAAATTAACTTTCCATATAATTTTTGATCTACTTATAGACCTAAGTTCTAAGTCAGAAGAAAGATATCTCTGCAGGCCATTAAGACCAGTCTCCTGGCTTCTTGATATCAAGAACAGGGTAGCAAAAAATGCAGAGATGTGAGACGTGGAGAGAAAACAAAAAAAATGTATTGAGAATACCCTCATCTGAAACACTGGGCTACTTTCACAGTGTGGACGGAAAAAGCTATATAAAGCGAAGTTAGGGCGATATGTTTTAGCCGGATACTCATTTTAGGGCCGGGCATTAGACTTCCAAATCAGAAGTCCAGGGCGGAGGGCACAGCAAGAACCGCCCCGTCAGACCTTTCACTCAACCCCAGTTGCTTGACCCCTTTTGCAACACCTTGCGCGACAGTTCCCGAGGCGCTTTACGGCGCTCCTGCCGTGTTGCGCGGCGCTGCTGGACCTGGCGGCCGTGTTGGCTGGAGCGCAGCGGTCCACACAGACGTTCTGTGGCGGTGGGCTCGCGCTGGGATGACCGCGCGGTGCCCGGCCGCGGAGCGGAGTCATGGTGAGTGGCCGGCGCTGACGGGCTCCGACATGGCGCTGACCGGCCCGGGCGGACGCGCAGGCAGACTTTGCCCGGCCTCCCGCTGGCTCCAGCCCCGATCTCGGCTGCAGGAAAACGTTTGCGCCTCCTGGGAGGTCTGCCTGTTAAGGCCCCGCAACACATCCTTTACAGTGGAAAAGCCTTGTGAGAATCTTGCAGCGAGCCTTTGCAAGCACTGTTTCCTAATCCAGCAGAAATCTTATTTCCACCGGTCTTGTTTAAACTTTAATGAGGTTCAAGGGCCTGTGGGTTAAAGTTCTCTTGGACGTCTGAAAAAAATCACCCTTATTGTGGATAAGCAGGTTGACTTAGCCTTTTCTTCTTAGTGAAAATCCCACACCCGACAGTAAATTGTATATGAAAATTGCAGTCGCTTTTAATTTTTTGAGGCAGGGTCTGTGTAACCCTGGCTGTCCCAGAACTCAAGAGATCCACCTGCCAGTGCCTCCCAAGGGCTGGGATTAAATGATATTAAAAGGCCACCATCGTGCACAGCGTCAAAGTGCAGTGTTAAAGATTTTCTTCTTTTTTCTTTCTTTTTGCCAACAAGAACAGCAACAAAATGTTTCTTCCAGCAGGCTTGGTGCTGCACTCTGTCCACTTCCAGCTACTTAGGAAACTGGCTGAAGGATCGTAAATTCATGGCTAGCCTGGACAAGACTCCACCTCAGAATAAAAATGAACTTTCACAAAGGCTGGAGATGTAGTCCCACCAGTATAGCACCTTGCATGTGACACCCTAGGTCCCATCCCTAGTCCTGACAAAGAAAAGAGGGACTTGGGGTGGGGGAGAACCCACCTTTTATTGAAATGAAGGTTGTAAAGTGTTTGAATGCAGAATAGGTGACTATTAGATAAGTAAAGATTTACTCTTTTCCTCCCTTACCAGGCCAGTACAGTGGTAGCAGTAGGACTGACCATTGCTGCTGCAGGATTTGCAGGTTTGTCTATGGTTTGGGGGTGGAAGAGTAGACTGGTTATGGATTAATTTGCTTATTCTATTGATTTTGGTTTTAGGCCGTTATGTTTTACAAGCCATGAAGCATGTGGAGCCTCAAGTAAAACAAGTTTTTCAAAGCCTACCAAAATCTGTAAGACCTAATTTTTTTGCTAAATGTATTGCCTGTATTTGAAGCCTGGAGCTGTCCTGTAGCCTGAATCCCACAGGAATTTCAGTGAGGAGCTACAAACCTTGCAGAGGTGCCACACTAGGAATCAATTGTCACATGTGACAACTGAGGGTGGGTGACCTTCACAGGTCTTTCCTACTCACATACTGTTGACCACCTGCCTTCCCTCATCTGCTCTGTCAAACGAGACATTGCAGTGCGGTTAGAACTACATTCAAGCATCACACCCTGTTGTGATGAAGAATGAATCTGAACCGGATATAGCACACACAGCTGCTGCTCTTCTGGACTTTTCAAAGTCCGCATCATGGACAGCTTGGTGTGCATGATTTCTGCTAAGGTTAAGGTCCTGATGGCCTAATTCCCCTACACTATCATAAAGTCTTGTTTTAGTGGTTGCCTTGAACCAGGTATGATACTGTTTTATGAGAATCAAGTTTTTATGAGGAATATGGGTGACAATGGTCTGCATTCACTCCTGGTTTTGTTTTTGTCTTAAATCAACAGTTTGTTCCAATTTGACTAGAAGAAATGTATGCTTAATACTTGTTACAATAGTTACTACTTATCAAGCTAAAATACCTTGGGAAATACACTTGTAGTTCTCTGAAATGTACTGTTTTTCTTTATTGATTTAACCAACATTCCATTTACTTCATTAATCTTCCCTTCCAATTCAATATCCCTTTCAGGCCTTCAGTGGTGGGTACTATAGAGGTGGGTTTGAACCCAAAATGACAAAACGGGAGGCAGCATTAATACTAGGTGTAAGGTAAGCATTCTATTCGCTCTTAATATGTGTAAGGTAATTCCTAGTATTTTCCTGCAGTTGAGAATAAGGTAGTTCCTAGGGACTTTGTCCCAAGAAGACATTGATTTTATGTTGGTTAACTCCTTCCAGGAGAATCTTTAAGCTTAACATTCCTATAGAAGTACAGGGCTTTCACTGAAAGAACAGGTTATGACAGTGCTCACTGCTGCCTCGAGTGACCTGTAGTGAAATTCTGCCCCATTTGCAAATGAAGTGTTGAGTAAGAAGTGTCAGGTCAGCTGCACTTAGTCCTGTTCTTAAGCACTATAATTTGGTTCTGACTTAGAAAATGCATTTTACATCTGTGTGAGGCTTAGTGTTAAATTTGGCCCTTCTGTATAGTTTGTGTGTGTGATTTTAAGTAAACTGAAGCAACAAATTGTTTCCCTTTTCAAATTAGCCCTACTGCCAATAGAGGAAAGATCAGGGATGCTCATCGACGGATTATGCTCTTAAACCACCCAGACAAGGGTGAGTAACTATTCAGGTTTATTAAACATGTTGGACTAACTGCTACTAATGGGATAACTGATTCTTGGTAGTTATGAATGTCTAAATGTGCGCATGAGCAGTCTCCCAGGCGTGGATCGCATTGTAGTGTCTTAAGTAATGAAATCCACTAGATACGGTGACATACTCCTGTAGTCCCAGCACTCAGAGACGGGGCTGAGGCAAGAGGATCAAGAGCCAACCTGGGTTCAAGGGATACCTTCTCTCACCGAAACAAAGGTATAATCAGCAATATAAGAGTCATTGTGATTTGGCAGTAATAATAAACATTAATACTGCTTTTAGGTTCTGTGTTTGATAAAATATCTCCCAATAATGGAGATCACAAACACTAAATACTTTGGTTGGCTTGTTTTTAAGACATCTTGCTATGTAAACTTCATGACCATTCTGCCTCAGCCCCAAATGCTGGGATTAAAAGCGTACACCCCAACTCTTGGCTCTGAGCTTTATTTATTTGTTGAGTTTTGCTATATTTTTGCATAGATTCATAAATAGTCATAAATAAACAAGTGCTAAGTTTTAATTAAGGAAAACTTTTTAAGGGGCTTCCATTTATAGTGAACACTTAGAACAGGAAATTACCTATTTGGAAACCTATGAGCTGAGCTGTTTGCTTTTGATGAACTTCTAAGTAGCCTTAACTGGTAAAAGCAAGGGATTTCTTTGACTAACAGACCACACAAAAATCTATTGTCATGCACAAATCTTTTTGCTTATAGGAAAAAGGGTATTGATAAGTTTAAACAGGACAACTGTTTAGTATTTGACTTCACTGTGTAAGGAATTTAGCTTGAATTACTTAAGGTCTTCTGATGTTCAAGATGCTTAGGTAGAGTTCATACATATACATTCTACCAGCATTCTCGATACTCTTCGATGGACTGATTAGCTGCTCCATCAGGTTAGTAAAACAGCAAATCTAGGTAATAGAAAGGGTCAGCTAATATCAAGAGAGGAAAATTGAAGCGGGAAAGGATGTAAAATAAATAGGTCTTTCCAGCATAAGCTCAGAAGCCCCTGAGAACAGGTAACACAGTGGATTATGTTCACAAGTGCTTAGTTTCAGGCACTTGTGTGGGAGGAGCTAAATTTTATTTCAGTCAGATTTTAAGGTTTTAAAGGTAAAATTTGTGTGAAAACATCTCATTTCCCATTGGTCTCATTGGTCAGATATTTTACCCTGTAATTTGGTGACCTATTTATAGTTATCATAGTTGCTTTTTAGAGAATGAAGATAGTGTTTCTGTTAATGCCCAGGATCCTCGAAATGCAAGTAGCTTTTGACAGATTTAGAATCTGTGCTCTAAACTATGTCTCCCCCTCCCCTTTCTTCTATAGGAGGATCTCCTTATATAGCAGCCAAAATCAATGAAGCTAAAGACTTACTAGAAGGTCAAGCTAAGAAATAAATGTGATGAATTTTAAGTCCATTAGTCTATGTATGAGTATGTTTTTGTAATAAAATACCTCAGAGCTATAATTTGTGTAAATGGCTTGGCATAAGCTAAATCAATGTCTTGGTATATTTTGTTCAAATTTGAGGATTTCAAAATTAAGACTATAGTATTAGCAATTATGAGTACAGAGTCACACCATTTGAATATAAGCACTGTTCATTATTTAGAGAGTTACTCTTCAAGGCTAAGGCTTTGCTCTGAGAATGCCCCACTGCAGTCTACTCAGACAACCTAACTACTGAAGCAGGGATTCTTTGGGAGGTAAAACTCAAGGTACAACTGGCCTAGGTAATTGAACACTGTAATTCAAAATTACTAATTTAGCTAGAACTTTCATCTAAGACATTTCTTAGGTAGTTCACTGGCAGTTAAATTTCAGTACATTAAAACTTTAAAAATAAGACTGAGTCTCTATTAAATTATGTAGCTCTGGCTGTCGTGGAACTACGTAGACCAGGCTGGCCTTGAACTCAAGAGATCCACTGTCTCTGCCTCCCAGGTGTAGTGATGAATGCTGTATGCCACTACACCCAGCTACTTTAAAACTATAATAATTTCAGCGTATGGGCCCTGTTAATTTTTAAAATTCTTAGCTAGTCCAAGTTGTACCTGCTTTGTTTTTTACATAATTCATTTAAAATGGTTATGACCAAGCTTATCTGTGAATATAAAGTCCTCTCCATATTAAAATATTGAGAGCCAGTTGTAGAGCATGCTTTTAACCCCAGCACATGAAAAGCAAGTGCTTTTTATTTTCAGCCTCAACATTTTACAAACTGTAAATCCAAGGGACATTTGAAGGCAGGTAACTTTGAGTCCAACATTCAAATATGTAAGGACTTAGGTCAGGAGGTACAATCCCTTCCTGGTGGTCTCTGTAGCATTTAATCCTGTCAGCACTTTACTGGTCACACTAGGGAAGAGGCCAGGTCCTGATGAGGCACTTTTTTTTTGGGGGGGGGGAGGGGTTGTTCAAGACTGGGTTTCTCTGTGTAGCTTTAGCACCTTTGTTAGATCTCACTCTGTAGCCCAGGCTGGCCTCAAACTCACAGAGATCCGCCTGCCTCTGACTCCCAAGTGCTGGGATTAAAGGTGTGCCACCACCACCCAGCTTCAATTCACTTTTTAAAAATATTTTTCTTTGATTTGCATTGGCGTTTTGCCTGCAGGTATGTCTGTATGAGGGCATAGGCTCTCCTAGAACTAGAGTTACAGTTGTGAGCGACCATGTGGGTGCTGGGAATTGAACCTGGGTACTTTGGAAGAGCACTCGGTGCTCTTAAACCACTGAGCCATTTCTGCAGCCCACTACAGTTCATTCTTCACAGCAGTTATGTTTTGTGAAGTCACCATGACACTAAACTGGCAAATGCAGATTGTGTTCCTAGTGGAACAGGTTCTTGTGAGCGTCTAGGCACATGCCTCTCTTTGAACATGACTTATTTAATATATTTCTTGCTTCATTAATATTAAAGTCGGAAGCACTACAGCTTAACTTTGGCATATACAGCCTTTTCTTGTTTTGAAGGACACAGCACTACACCACTACAGTTAAAAGGATTAGAGAAACCACCAATACAAAGCAAACAGTGTCATACACTGCATTGCCCTACCTGAATTCATGGTATTAGAAATGATCAACAAAGCATGTTAAATGTTGATGTGGGTTTTATGTTAGCAAGCAGGTCAATACACTTAAAGAATCCATAGATGAGGGTATCTAAAATATTATGGTTTATAATCCAAAGTATTAACCTTTTTTTTTAAATCTGGCTATTTGAACTAATAATAATAAAAATGTTTCAGGGCTATAAAGATGGCTCATCCATTAAGCCCTGTCTGCTCTTCTATAGGACCCAGTTTGATTCCTAGAACCCACATAGCAGTTCACAAACACCAGTTCCAGGCTATAAAGATGGCTCATCCACTAAGCCCTGTCTGCTCTTCTAGAGGACCCAGTTTAATTCCTAGAACCCACATAGCAGTTCACAAACACCAGTTCCAGGCTATAAAGATGGCTCATCCACTAAGCCCTGTCTGCTCTTCTAGAGGACCCAGTTTGATTCCTAGAACCCACATAGCAGTCCACAAACTCCAGTTCCAGGGGATCTGATAACATTTTCTGGCCTCCTTGGGCACAGCCTGCACACATGGTGCAGACAGACATACATGCAGGCAAGACACCCATATATACAAAATAAAAATGGTACGTGTTTCTATGAACAATAATAAAGCAGAGTTTGGTTAAGATTTAAAAGCAGATTTTTGAAAAACAAGTAGTATTACAATATGCCCCCGAGCAGTCATCCATTAACTGCAAAGGACTGAGCACTGTAGGCACAAGTACCTTTTTGAGTGTCAAATGCTATGCATGCCTGTTAAAGACAGGCGCCAAAGCATTGAAAGCCTTTCATATACTAAGGAGCACAACCATTCACTTGATAGTAATGTTTATTTTCTCTAGGTTTACCTTTTTCAAGCTGAAGAATCTGTATTTCATTGAAAGCTCTAGGTGTTAACGTTTAAATGTCACACATGTAAGGGCTCTTAGAAATAGATCTGTAAAAGGGCCTTCTCCGTGCTATTTTTCTAAGTGCTTAAAGCCTCCTGTATTGTGTTAAGCATTCTTATTGTATCTCAACTATTATGTGTTTAACACAAGGAAACCAAGGTTTAGTGAAGTGACATGTCCAAGGAGACAGGGCTGAGTGGGAAAACCTGTTTCTTCTCATATTCACACTTCCATGCCCCCTAACTTCTGTGGTTAACCTTTCACAGTTCTAATCCAATCATCTAAACATGTTTCTTGGTGATACTTGCTAAGCATCCAATTGTTTACACACACACATATAAGGTGCAGAGGTTTGGACTGTTTTGCCATAAGCTAGGCAAGCACTTGCCAACATTCCTCTATCAGGTACTGTAAATGGAGACAAAGGGTCAGGAGCAGATCAGTGGCAAAGCAATAGCCTAAACTTGGGGCCACAGGAATCAGACAGTAAGGCTAAGGTGTGGGGGCCAAATACCACCCCTGAATGTTTTCGCTCAGGAGCCATCCAGCTTTGTTTTTGAGAGAGGGTTTCATTGGGACACCCCTGAACCCCAACAATCTGTGCCCACTTTCCCAGTGCTGGCATTATAAACCTGTACTCCAACATCTGATTTTAATGTGGGGACTGTACTCAGATCACACTTACATGAAAGCACTTCACTGACAGCTGCGTCCCCAGACCCTAGGTAGCTTTGAGCAAGTCTCTATACAGAAGGATAAATGGAATAAAATTTTAAGGACTATGAAGAGCAAAGCGATTAGCTAGTGAAATGACTGAACCCTGGACCTGTCTTTCCCAGTTTATCATGTTCATTTATAGTTTGATTTTCTGTCCACAGCTTGCCTTTGGTGTTGATATTGCTAGGACAGAAGTCCTAGCTCACTGTCTTTAGAAATTGTAGTAGTCCTCAAAGTCAATCATCTTTGGCAACCATGGATTTTTAGCAAAT